TTTAAAATCGACCCAAGGACGACGGCATATCATAAAAATATACACTTTCTATGTTTGCTATATACTCTCCAAACATCGTTCATGTAATTCCTTTCAGATTGATCTCTACCGTGGCTCATATATATGTGTTAAACTAGGCTCATGTGAAACTATTGCATTGCAAATATGACGGATGCACCTCGATCTTTGGGGAATGAGTAAAAAAGATGGCGGAGATTCGACATTTACGTTTGGACTGATTCCAAAAATTTACTATTCGATTTGAAATGCCCAGCCATATTCGCAATTTTAAAAATTAAGCGCATAGCAATATTTATCACCAACATAATATTTTTTCTTTTCTGACTCATACCTTGCTTTCACGCATAAACTTCTAGAGTTTTTTTTATGCAATTCCACCCACTCCCCATTTTGTCAAACGACCAGGTCGAAAACTTGTATACGCCATTATGTAGGAGAATCTTCTCTGTGTGCTGTGTATTTCGTACAAAATCCAAACCGTGTCCTACTGCAAACTTCTTGTCTCATTCGACACACAAGAATTGCCATCGCAATAACATAACCGCAGGAGATTTTATACCGATTTACACCATAATTACATAAGCGACTGAAAATATTTCTCTCAGGTGTCAGATGCATTCTATTTTCCTGTGCTTTGTTTAAATCATAAGTCCGACTTTTCGTACTGAATATAACTTGGTCTGATCTGCGACGTGAGACATTAAATTATCATCATAAGCAGCTTTGAAACAGAGGATTGGGAAAGGGCACATTTTAAAGTTGCGTGTAACATGTATCCAGGGGAGTGTCTATGCGGAGGCCATACGGGCAGCCGCCCTGGGCAGCACGTTATAGGGGTGAGTTTGTTGCTTAGTTTGATGCTTGAAATAATAATATGCTAACATTTCATTCTTACTTGACCTTTAATTGATTTCTTCTCATGTATAACAACATCTATAATTTGCTCATCCCTCGTATTATTTTTGAAGTAGGTTTAAGGGGCATTTTCAAGGAATTGCGCAAATAATCTACGAAATTGAAAAATAGTTCAAAAACAAGCAGTGTGTGGCTAAATACTTGTATTGTTTCATTTATTTAGTTGTTCAAATAAACTGCTGTAGGCAATCCTCTATGAATTGTACTACCTCTTAGCGAAATAAAAAAATGAAATACTTCCCTTAAATTAATACTGCTAAATATCGCCATCCCATAATTTCATGATGCTGTTTGTCACCAACATTTACACATGAGTTAATTACACAATTGCCAAAGCAGACTTTTCCAGCCTTGTTTCAGAATTATAACTACCGACCACGGCAATCACAACAAATGTATTTGTTGTTGAGGAACAACAAAAACAACGGAAAGGTTAAATTTATAGAATTGGCATACACGAGTTCAGGATGATATCCATATCGATCAGCATGCAACATGATGTGTTGCGTAATAATGTGAAATGAATAAAAATTTGAAATAGGTCTACTTCTTCATCAAGACAATAAACCTTTACTGGAATTCAACGTTTTCATTACCAACTTTCATACGAACCAACGGAGCGTGTCGGCTGCTGTCAGGAGCACTTTTTGATGGGACGCGGCGATTTTGCTTTACATTCGCATGTTGTTGGGCGGCGGATGATCTGAGGTACAATTGTTTCGTTGAGTCCCAATACTGTACTGGAGTAGGTTTGCCGTAATATTGTATGTCAGTGTTTGAATTTCAAGCTAAACCAAAATCTAGATGCTGACTAAATTTGACACGAAGTCCGGTTAGCGCAAAGCAGTTCCAATGTTTCGGCATACTTAGCGGTGGTAAAGTCTGTATTTTATCTATAATATAAAAAAATACTGTTGAGGTAACCCCTATACACAACGCACTCTACGAAGAAAGTACAGTACGACAGATGAGAAAGGGAACGACGAATTATGAAACGGCACGGTGAAGCGAGCGTCCCTTCAAAAACGTTACTGGCAGCATCGGTCAAAGGTCATGAAAGTTGGTAAGGGTATCACTCTCTTGATAAATTTATCTATCTGTACTGCCCAGCCGCTCAAGTTGCAACTTTTACCATGTGTTGCTGATCTCAAGATCTTCACAATATATATATTTGAGTTCAATCATTATTTATTTCAAAACTCTCCATTGTACATCTCGCTAGTACTTTTATATTCGCAGCTGCTCATCATTGTCCCACACTCCAGATATTTGACGGTACGTGGTTCTATGGCTAATGAAAACATGAAATGCATAAACCATGTCAGTCCAAAGTTGGTTTATATAACATTGTGACTTGATAGAATCATAATTTGAGTGAATATTACATCAAACAGCCGAGAAACGAAATAAGGGGTAAAACTGACTCTAGAATCAGGTATTCAAAGCCTATCACCGGACTGTCAGTACCAGTACGTTCATTATATAAAATGTCATTGCTTGATTGTCGTGTAGTCAAAGCCTCCCATGCATTAGCATTTTTGTTTGACATTAAATTATTGTTTCAATCTATTTGAAACCATGCGACAAAGAACCTACTCGCGAACTTGCGAAGAATATACGTTCTGGGACGGGTTCTAAGTACTACGTCATCAAAGGCCGTTTCCGAACTGCGGTCGATTTTCGTTGAGGCGGATTTTAAAAATTCATAAATACAAAACTAAGTCGACTATATGTAAATAGAAAGCGTCAACAATTTGGAAAAGATTCAAATCCATCAAAAAACAAATAAAAGTTTTCGTGATAACCCATCTTTAAGGCATTTAGCGCGTTCCATGTTGTAGTTTTGAAAAGTCTAAGATTTCAGTTTTGTTACATTAATTAATCATTTTTTCATATTAAGTTATATATACGTGGAGTACATATATATCTGTACTGCAGTGTATATGTCACATTGCAATGCCTGGTCGATGTGTAGGTTCAAAACCCACGAATTTTGTTAAAAAGAAGAAGAAAAAAATAAAATTTCGAATCAAAGTTTTCTTTCTAATTATGCCTTAGCATTTGTACAATCTTCTTCTAAAGAAAAGATTGGCTGCTTTGTAAGTCCACGTGTGTGTGACGTAATTATGTTTAGGCCAATCACACTACAAGTCGATAGACATATAAAAGCTATTGGTTCTTGATTTTTGACGGTCGTTATCTGTCATTATCTGTTGCTATATTAGTCAATGTGCTTCAATGTTAAACTGTTATCGTTTGATTGTGTTGAACTGATGTATCTTAATTTGAATAAATAAATAATACAAACGTATTATTACAGATATATATGAACATTACGAAAAAATGAACGTCATTTGCATTCTACCCGTCACCCAGATTTTTTTTTGTGCTAATCAGCTAGCACAAAAAATATACAATATGAATTCGAGAAAACACATTTGATTATCTTTTCAACAACAAAATCCTCCTATTAACTGGACAATCTGCTAATCTTCAATATTCCAACTCCAATATTTAACCCCGTTTCCAGATAAACGGTAGCTTCAATTACTCGTAATTCAGCACGAGGCATGCAGGAAGATTGTGTGATGGTTCTATCAGTAAAATCGGTACTCCCGAAGGGTGTGAACCAAGATGGCGGACAACGGAACGTAGTATGTGTACCAGGTTAGGGTTAGGCCATAATTTCAGGTACAAATACGACGGGAGTCACTTGGCTAGTTCCGAACTCATAATAAAACTGAAATAAGGATAATTGGAATAAAATTATGGCCTAACCCTAACCTGGTACGTTTTGATGTCTGCCATCTTGGTTCACATACTTCGGGGGTAACGTAAAATCTGAAGATAACATTATTTTTCATGTAATTTACTGGCGTATTGGAAAAGTATAAAAATTGGTTTATATGATGTGGAGTTAATTAATACATGTTTGAAGTCTCCACGTAGTCATATAAATATATTCTGATTATCCACGCTCGTCGCATGGGTTTAACTGCTATTGTTAAAATTATTGTTCAACTTATCGTCGAGTCCATACAGAGTATTTTAGAATACGTAATTGGTAAACGTATCAAAAAGAATAATCAAATTCAGTTTGATGTTTATTCATTTGCGTGTAATGATCAGTGTTTGAATATTCGGTCATTCACTGTGCACAGCAATTCTGTTTGCTGTTTGCACAGAAAATAATCAAGAAAAATACCGTAGTATTGCACTATACTACATGGACGTATGCGGCTGTGAAACGAACGATCAGTACGGTTACCGGGATTTAATGTTACCGGTATCGGGTATTCTGTTCTTTCTTGCTCATAGCCTATATATATATTGCCAAATGACATTGGCCGATATAACGAGCGCCATAATCCTACTGCGCTGGGAAAATTCAACCTCCTAGATTCAAATTCGAAAATAAATATAAACTTTTATTGACTTCTAATTAGCGTCCGTACTCCAAACTCTTTCCCATCGACGAATCTAAATTATGCTATGTGCACTCTTTGTTCGCGCATTCACGTTTTCCACGGCATTTACCACTTCCACGATTTGACACAATTGTTTATGACTTCCATTGTAGTATCTCATGCAATATCACTATTTATGTAAAGTACCAATTTTATCTTTGTTGCCAATTGTGTCTCTTATATACGGTTAGGCTTTGATTTTGTTACGAGTATATTATTTAGCAGAAGTAGTCGTAAAACATTTTTCAGTCCAAGTTCACAAAGTATATTTTACCGAAATTCTCGCCGTAAAAAGTCATTTAAAACTTCATGAACACGTACGTTAGAAATTCAGGGCTAACATAAAGATATATTTATTTGAATCTAAACATTGTGCGCCAATAATGGATGCCAAAATGACCTAGTTTTCTGTAGCTGAACCTCGTGATTTATATTGACTTTCTCAAATAACTTTTACTTCGATGTCATTAAAATAGACAACAGTTTTATTGCCTCTTTGAGTCAAATATTTTTGTGAACTATATATTTCTTCCGGTGTGTATATATACGGGGTAACCGCTATTCTTTGGATCTGTTTGCTACGATAGGGTGGTTGGTTCCAACTAAAGCTCATGTTCCGCAAACTTGCTTTTGTTGGGAAGAAAAAATTTAGTCCAAATTTCTTACAGGATAAGTTTAAAGTAACGCACTTCCGACAATTATAATGTTGTCTAAACCGTCGACTGGGAGTTTCGTAATTATGGTGACTTTTGCAATATGTATTTGCGTGAGTGTTGCTGTGAGTCTTTATTTCATTCTGGCGAACAACGACAACGAAAGCCCAGAACAGCCGAACATAATAATAATGTACGGAGATGACACTGGGTACGCTGACTTCCAGACATACGGACACCCAACACAAGAATGGAATGGTGTTGACAGGATGGCCCAAGAGGGTATTAAATTTACTCAATGGTCGACACCTTCCGCGCTTTGCTCTCCTTCCAGGGCAGCCCTTTTAACAGGTTAGATTATGAGAAGTGGTTTCAATCTTTTTCCTGACATGTCTATACTTAACACTTAATCTTAAACCTTTATCAAATAGATCATCCAGGTTTTTATTCAGACTCCAATATTTTTTCTTAAAACTCCAATTTTCTCTCTATAAACACTTCAGCGGCTTGGGTGACAGGAGCTAGCAACTAAACCCAACCTTCTGTCTTGAAGTCTGTTTCATGCTCTTCTTATCCAGTGATTTGCAAACTATTCTTGCTACTGATCGATAAAATTGAAGAACATATATCACTAAGTCCGGAAACTAAGTTAGGAAATGATTGTAACGTGATAACGTGAAATTAGGGCATTAGACACGAAAATTTTCGACTCCGTCGCTGAAAACCCAATAAATAAAATTGCTATAAATATAATCATCAGAAATATTATGTTGAATATATATTTTTCCCTAAAAGCAGGTTTGATAAGCAATTTTTCCAACTGCTGGGCGGCAAAAACAATGACAATGAATGGTAAAATATCTCGGAAAAATGTAAACTGTACTTCAAAAAATGTGGTGTACTCCTTTTCATATTCCAGGACGATACCCCATACGCACCGGAGTTTTTGGCAGAAAACGCGTTTTTCAAACATCTTCATCAGGAGGATTACCACACAGAGAGGTTACTATAGCAGAAGCCTTGAAAGATGTTGGATATATTACTGGAATGGTTGGAAAATGGCATCTAGGTATAACCCCTCTGCATGATACAATGGAGAATGCGTTAGGAAATTTATCTGCGCTGATGATAAATGAAAGTGCTCCATAATGCCGAATATTAGATCATAGTCTTGAACATATTCAGTCACTGCGTACGTACATCTTGAATATACGTTATTTCCTGTCAACAATTTCTCAAAAAGTTGAAAATGTGAACATTTTCGAAGAATATTACTTTACGATACCTTTTCAAAAGTTTTAATTGTCACCGATACCATAAGGCACGTGAGTAATACCACATTTTCATATTATTTATTTATTGAAAGAAAATAATATGATAGAAGAATCGCGAGTGGTGAGCGACTATTAAGACCATTTTTAAAACGTTGTTCAAATTCTTACTTCAGAGCTTTCACTACAAAGCGGATACGACATGAAAAGATTTTCTTTGTTTCTTGTTTTTAAAGACGCACAAATATATTTCAGTACCACGTTTAGCATGAGGCTAGTTAACCAATCTTATTGAAATAAAAAAAAATTGTTTTTGATATTACAAATTCGTTACTTACCTTCAGGAATAAACAAGAATAGTTCGACAGATGGATATTATTTACCGCACAATCATGGATTTGATTATGTTGGTACAATTCTTCCTCATACACAGAACGCTATATGCAATCCAGAAAAAGTATGATGTCATTTGTTATGCTGATGTATTTCGTCTCCTAAATAAACGACGTCGTCAGACACCACCAAAAAAAAGTAGATTCATTGTTTCGATATCAAACACTGTTTAATTATCTGAAATAGACGACCGGCACTATGACAAATTATTAAAACTTAGACTTAGGATCTTATTGAAACCACAAACCCTATTTTGATATAGTGTTTGTTTTCTGGCATAAAACTATTTATTCTTCCATTCACCTCATATATTGATCATGCTAATTTCACCATGTGTGCATATAATCTTTCAGACGAAAATGTTTTTGTTTATATTGTTTCGCTAAACGTTTTTATAACAATACTTAGTGAGATTTAAAACCATGCGTAAATGAACTGCTAAAAATAGTTTCATTTCAATTTTCAGTACAACGTACGTCAAATGAGAAACTGTTTTATATATCGAAACGATACTATCGTTCAACAACCAACCGATTTAACAACGTTAACAAAAAATCTTGTGGTTGATGCGAAACACTTCATCAATACAAATAAAAACAATCCCTTTTTCTTCTTTTTCTCCTTTCCACAAACGCATACGGCGCTGTTTGCCAGTCCGGAGTTTCTCGGAAAGTCGAAAAGAGGTGAGGGGGTAACTCTTGAGTAAATTTTACAAAACAGTAAAAATAAGATTGAAATGTTTTACTGCGGGTTATTTTTGAAAGTTTATCATAAAATATTGTCTATATACACTAAATTGCATACATAATTCTTAATCCCTCCTATTTACAATTTAGTTTAATTATTATATTGATAATGAAAGTTGTAATAATGTTAAATTCGAGCGGGAAAGGCCGCTTGATTATCATTTTTTTTTAATTTCAAGGACAATATGGTGATATGGTTAATGAAATGGGGTCGTCAATCAATGAAATTATGGACCAACTGATTGATCTGAAAATAGAGAAACGAACTTTAGTTATTTTTCTATCTGATAACGGACCCAAGTTTGACGGGTGTGGAGACGGTGGATCTCCTGGCGTGTTTCGAGGCGGGAAAACAACTACGTGGGAAGGAGGAATTCGGGTACCAGCCGTGGCTTGGTGGCCTGGAACTATAAAACCTGGTGTTGTTAGTAACGCTGTTGTTAGTTCATTGGACATCTTCCCAACTGTTTTAAAAATAGCCGGTAATTCAAAAGTTAATAACCTAGTTTTTTCTTCGAACAAAATATTGTTCTAAATAATCAGTATAAATTGCTTGTAGATTCAGATTTAAACTCCATTGTAAAGAGATTTATTTTTTTATTGTTTGTACTAATAAATGCCAAAACATTATAGGTTCCAACTACATCAAACGTCGTAATCTAACGATAGATGGTCAGGTGAATGACGAAGTTATCAAAGGACTAAAATCAAAATCTTATGATGAAACCTTGTTCTTTTACTATAACGGCGTACTAACATCCGCCAGGCATCAACAGTACAAAATCAATTTTTATAAATTCCGATCGATAGGTAAGATGCGGAAATTATTGCCACTGGATTCTATGATTTATATCAATATGAGCATTAGCATAGTCGATCCTGGCTAATCCGCACGTTGAAATGACATTGTCCCTCTTTAACTTAAAAAACAGCAATGTTTTAGCTGAAATATCGGTTTTCATGTGTATCAGATTAAATTTGAAAAATAAATATAAGTAATATGCTTCTAGCGGCTTCTATCATCTCGAAGTACTGAAAAATTAAAATCGATTTTGGATCGATTTCGAAAAAAAACCTTAGAAGTTAGAAGTATAATCCACACTTAGAAACAAATCCAAACGAATTTTTATGTAGAACATTCTTTGGAACAAAAGCTAAAATGATCGCATCTGAAGTGTTGAATAAGTATACAAAAATAATTTGAATTTTATATTCAGTGGATATAATGGAGGAGCTTGATGAAACAATTCGTTGCGACTACACCAGTTCAATTGTTAAAGATGCAGTTTTTGATATAGAAAATAAAGTCTCGAAGCAAGATACGCCACTCATATATGACATCGAGAAAGATCCCCAGGAATCATCTCCGTTGGATTCAGAAAGTAAAGAATATAAAAGAGTGATAAAATTGGTTGATAAACGAGTACAAGCTCACAATGCGAGTATATTGGCCGTAGAATCAGAAATTGACAAACCATATACCAACGATGCTCCATGTTGTAACCCACCTTTATGCACATGCAACTATAACGAGGAATAACAATTAGTGATAAAGAAATTAAACGATACTATTTTGAGCAAATTCGTGTCTGATTTGTAGTATTAATTAAATTAACAAAACGACAATCAATTTTCGCCGTTCAATTCCAAGTACCTCGAGTACGGACGTAAGTAGAAAAAACTCACGTTTTAACGCAGTAGGTATCGTATTTCATTGTATTATAATATGTATACATCTCGCTGGCGAATGCTTGTTTACAAAAACCTAAAAAAAACTCCAGCTCCAATGTAGCAAATGCATCACACTTTTCATGGCGCATATATAAAAATCATTAACGATTGCTAGAGGTTGAGAAAGTTTTCTAGAACTGAGTCCACAAAACAGTAGTTTAACGGTTAGGTTTTTAAATTTTATGACGGTAAACACACCTGAGATGCCTTGAACTTTTTATAGGTCGTTTTAAAGTTCTAACAATATACAAGGATTTTTCTCATCTGCGGTTTTGAATTTTCGAGATACTTAAGCTTGTTAAATTTATTCCCTTATGAACTTGAGGTGATTGAACCCTCGTGTGATGTATGAAATCAGGAGAAAAATAAGCGGATTGTTGGCCCATGAGACGATTTTATATTTAAAATATTGAGACATAATATTAGGTACCTATGTTATCAATTTTTGAATCGATACTGTGCTGTTGGATTTGGTGAGCAACTAAAAACAAACATAATTTAGCATTCCGAACTTGGGTAAAGCTCGAAATTTCGACATTGACTTTTAGACACAATATTAAAATAATAATAGTAGTAACAGAACTATAGACTTACTCTCATTATTCCAAATTGAAGCAGATATTACCAGATTCGTTACCGTGAGGAAACTAACAAATATCTTAATCGCAGTTTTGGCAAAGCGAGAAAAAGTGAATAAACCAATAATAAGCTTTTAGTTTTCTTTTCAAATACCTATCTATCACGCCAATATGGATGCAGTATGCTCTATGAATTATGTTAGCAAACTACCTACTGCTGACAAATCTTGCGTTATTTATGCATGTGAAACAGAAATTTGACGTTGTACACCTGAAGGTATTTCTTTCTATTATATTGTAATTTTCTGCGCCTCACTTAGTGATACATTCGACTTGAGTCACCCCTGTAAGTTTGAAATGTATTTGAGGGGTTTTTTGTTTTGGTTTGAAAGGTTCGCATGCGGAGGTCCAAGTCCACAAAGAAAGGCTTTCAGATGGTTCTTGTAACCAGTTTTGTATATTTCTTAATTTGGAAAATAGTTAACAAGTTAGGTATAAGAGACGGTTCCGAGAGTTATTTATATAACTATAGGTGTGGGTTTTCATAGTAACGTCACAGTTATAATTACGATTAGGTTGCTGTTATTAGAAACTAAACTTTTTTTATTGCATTTGGCATCAAAATAATTTTGTTTAAAATTATTTGAAACTGCTACGTTTGGCTAATTTTTACCTGTCTTTTGTTTAAACGGTGGCGAAATACAACGAACAATAAAAAATATGAAAATACTGAACACTGTAATAACGAGTCGCGTTTTGATGTTATATTAATTAAGCCAGAGGTGGCCATCGACCAACACGACGATCGACCGGTCGATCGCCACCCTTGCAGCGGTCAATCGCGAAAGATTTTGAGCGAACTTCACAACTTCCCGAAAAAGTTGTATTCAATCAGTAGTCACGCTATTCACAAAAATATTGCTCATTTTTAACAAATAATGACCACTTAAAAATCTTTATTCTGAAATTGAAGAGTAAGTTTATGGCAATATTAGTGCTTCATCACATTTTAATGCTGTATGTCTTCGCCTGGAATAACTGAATAATATAATAGCTTATTTAAATTCTTAAGGGGGCTCAGTCTATAGTCCTTTGTGTCTCTGATAATAATTATACGAATAATTTTAAATAGGCCGTGATAATGTGAGTCAGTGACATAATCATAACAGTGTTTTACTATTATTGTATGACATTAGACTCTTTTGTTCAAATCCCATAAATTTTCTCGCAAGATTTCTTAAACCACTCTATCCTCTTTTCAGCAAGACCCAATTATTTAGTTCAGTTTTTCATAGTATTTGACTATCCTCAGATTTTAGATTCAGATTTTATTTTCGTCATGCAAAACCAATATACGATATGAAAAAATAAAAAAGGCATATATATAACAAATTACGAAGACGGATATCGGCTTGTGCAATAGACAAGGGATCGCGAAAGACTCAAAGAGTCATCCAGTCAGCGACACCTTGTAGCTGCATTGAAGCAACAAATATAGCAACCGAACAACTCAATATTAAATAGTCACTAAATTCGACACAATCATATATATAAAAGGGACAACAAAAAGAATGCCACAATGACCACGAAAATTTACCTAAACATTCACTTAATTAGACTCAATCACAAAAAGGAACAACAAAGTTTGAAAAATAAAATACAGGATGTCATAATAACTATGGAGTATTAGATATTTACCTAATTAAACTCAATCATACAAATTAAGAACAAAATAAAATCGAAATAAACACCGAGATACTACAATGATTACATCGTATTATATGACTCAACAGCGACATATGTAAGAAGGATATGCCTCAATGACAACAAAGAATTGCGAAATAATGCTGACTAAGCATACACAGTAAACCAATATGGCGTGCCCTGCGACGGGCTTTTGGCTGCGAGAAAATATTAAAACAAGAACAGTACTACACAGCGAGCACACAACTTGACGAACATGGATGGGGAAAAGCAGCACCACAAGGATGGGTACGGTACATATACAAATATAATATTTCCAGACTAGTTGCAACTAGGCTTATAAGCATCTAGGTATAGGCTCTTCAGTGCATGTTTATACAAGTTATAAGTACTGGTCCGAATGCTATTGGGGAGGTTATTCCACAATTTAAGACCAACAAACTTGATTGAGTTTTGGGTGAGTTTGGTGCTAAAACGATTTACATAATAAGAACTGCCAATAGAGGACCGTGTTCCATATGAGTGAACATTGCTTTGTTTTGAAAAATAGTTTGTGAACGCAGTTACGCAGGAGGGAGTTATTTGCAGTGGTGTTGGTGCATCAATTTCAGAACTTCTATGTTATAAATGTCTGCCAATTTAATAATTTTAAGGTTATAATAAATAGGACTGAGTCGTGAAAAATAACTAGCGGCAGATCTCGCACGGATTGCTCGGTTCTGCATAATTTCAATGCGATGTAATAGTGTTCTAACAGCTGAACCCCAAGCAATTATGCCGTATTGGATATGGCTCTGGAATAAGGAGTAGTACACCATCCGTAGTGTTGTTGGTGATGTAAATCGTCTAAGCTTGTAAAGTATTCCAACCGATTTAGATAAATAACGGATAATTTGGATAAGTGAACATCCCATTTCATTTTACTATCTAAATATATGCCAAGATATTTATAAGAATGGACATTTTCAAGTTCTTTGTCATCAATTTGTATTACTGTTTCATTTTTAGGTTTGCACTGGTGTGGAGATATTAACATAGTTTTTGATTTGTCAATGTTCAGTGTTAGTTTATTGGACCGCATCCAATTTGATACCTTCGCAATTTCAGAATTTACTCTCAACTGAAGAACTGCACAAGATTTGCCGCTGTCGAGAAGATTGGTATCATCAGCAAACAATTTGGTAAAGAAGGAGGAACAACAAGTTATGTCATTTACATAGACTAGAAATAGAAGAGGACTCAAGCAACTATCTTGAGGAACTCCGTGAGTCACTGGTAAGGGAGAGGAACAACACGACCCCACTTGAACATATTGTGATCTATTACTTAAATAACTAGAAATGAGTTTGTTTGCTGTACCCCTGATACCAAAATGTCTCAACTTGTAAATCAGGATGTTATGATTTACGGTATCGAAGGCCTCCCTTAGATCTAGGAATGTTGCACTGACAAACTCCTTCTCTGGTTTATCGTAGATATATGATATTGTGTCTAAGATACAATGTGATGTAGATAGACTATTTTGGAAGCCAAACTGTGATTTATTTATTACATCATGTTTCGTAAAAAAAAGCATTGAGTCGCTTATGAATCAAACGCTCAAATATTTTACTTATTGATGAAAGAATTGAAATTGGTCTGTAATTTGACATACGTTTTTTATTGCCAGATTTGAAAAGAGGGATCACTCGGGCAATTTTGAGACATGCAGGGAAGATTCCAAACAAAAGTGAACAATTGAAGAATTCAGCCAAACATGGTGCAATGAGATCAGCAACTAATTTAAGGAAACGTGCTGGTATGTTGTCTGGACCAACTGCCTTCCTTTCCTGTCTTTCAAATTATGTATTTCTAATATCAATTCATTTGTAGTCGCTGGGCTCATGAAGATGGACTGGTTTATTCAATTGTGAAGAAATTGTTTAAAGCTATCCTGTTCTGTGGAAAACTTGCCTGAAAGGCTAGACCCAATTGTAGAAAAATACTTATTAAATTCTGTAGCAATCAAAAGTTCATCTCTAATTATAGAGCCATTTTCAATATCGATCTCGTCAACTTTTTGATTAGATTTATTTTTTACATGAGTGATTTCGTTAACTGTTTGCCATGTTGACCTAGGATTACCTTTGTTTTTAGCAATAAGGTTTTGATAATAGGTTTGTTTTGAATCATCTATGGCTCTAATCAAAACATTTCTATACTTTTTGAAATAGGAGCGTTCGGAAGTGTTCCCTTTCAAAAAGTGGGATTCAAACATCTTATTTTTGTGGCGAATAGAAGCAAGCAGCCCTTTGGTTAGTCATGGTTTTAATCGTAGCCTTTTTTGACGACGTGAGAGTGGTCGAAGCGGAGCGTGGCGATCAATCAGGTGAACAAATGATTTTACAAATTCGCTGAAAACACTATCAAAGTTTTGGGAACTCAAATTGTTTCTAGCAATATAATTATGAAAAATTACTTGTGTATCTGTTCGAAAGCAATCGATCGAGAATTTTGACATGTCCATTGCTATTTTGACATAATTTGTATGGGCTGGTTTTATGCCACTGAGGCAACACATGACAGGAAAATGGTCTGTTATGTCTGAGAGAACTACATGAGATTTGATTATAAAATTTGAAATATTAGTATAAATGTGATCTATAAGTGTTGATGATGTACGGCTTACTCTAGTAGGCTTAGTGATTAATGACTTGGCATTGTGAGAAATTAACATATTGGCATAATTTGCAGTTTGGGCATTAGTTGACGTTGTAAGTAAGTTAATGTTAAAATCTCCTAGTATCAAAAACTGTTTCTTTGCCA